CCCCCCCCTTTTTTTTTTTTTCCTCCCAATTTTTCAGTTTTGTGCTGTTGTTATCATCTAATTGGAGAAGCTAAATGGAGATTAAATCACACCTGTCAGCTATTTCTTCAAATTACTTCCAGAAGGAGAGTCTTTGTGAAAAAAACAGACGGCTTGGGCCATTTCTTAGCTGGGAACAGGCTCCGTTTGCGGGCGTTTCTTTCTGAGCCATTAGCGCTTCCTCACCTTTGACCCAGCACCCCTAGAATATAAAAGCAGAGACCTCAGGCTTGCGCTTGGCCCGTGGCTTTGATAGAGCAACATGGGCGCTCAGGGGACTTTATTTTTGCTTTCCCAGGAGCAGGTGCTTCCTAGGAGACTTTATGCTTTGTAGAATCTCTTTTCCAAGGGTAAGCACTATTCGTTTATTAGGGCGCACCTCTCAAAGCGCGGCAGAGGGTTTATTTGTTAAAACCAGTCCAAGCACTGGGGAGCATCACAAGCAGTTGGTTTATGGATCGGGGCCCCTTTGTAGATCATCTGCTGCCTGCCCTGAGAGGGGTCGTGGGGTGTCGGTACCCCGGATCTCTGGGTAGCGGGTACAAACACGCACCCCTTGAGGATGTGGAGTGAACCCTCGTGGGGAGGCTAGTGGCTGCTGGATGTCGTAGGAAAAGCCTTTCCTTGAGCGTGAGCCACTGCTTACGGATTATAGATATATATTTATATAAAAAGACAACTGCTGTCTTCCTGCAGGCAGCTTGGCCAAACTCAGGCTTGGCTTTGGGTGGGAGGTTTGATTCCTCATGAGTGAGCAGCGTTTATGTTCCCCGCGTGCAGGGTGATTCCTTGCTCGGTTATTGCTGAAGGGCAGCCGTTACGTGTTGCCTCGCTGCTCTGGCAGTTAGAGGTCCCACATTTACTTTTATTCCTCCTAAACTGTTTCCTTGTCCCGCTCTACAGCAGCAGGAGTTGCTGTGTATATTGTTGTTTAGGGGCAAATGGAATTATTCCTACCTATACCTTGGCCGTTGACACATCTGGAACACTGCGGTGGATAAAATAAGTCCGTGATGTTGTGTTCCTGTTTTATTTTACTGTGGAAGCTGCCTGCCAGAGTGGATGAGGTAGTGAAAAGTGAGCTCCTCTGCATGTCTTGCTGGGAGTTCACGCTGCTGCAGACAAACAGCTGTTGTTTTCCTCTGCTTTCCCCTTCCTGCCCCGGTATGTTTTGTAATATTTTGGGTTTGTGACTGAGGAGGGTAATAGTACCTACAACATATGGGAGAGCAAGTAAACCAGGCAGGCGGGTTTCTGATCAGCCGGAGCTGAACTCGCTTTGCGTGGGGGATTTCGGCTGAAGACGCCTGGTGACAATGTCCCATCCCCTCGTGTCACAGCACACGCCTCCGGTCGGGGCATCCAGGGAGAAGGAGCCTGTGCAAAGGAAGGTCTGGAATGAACGAAATCAAACATGCATGTCTACCCATCCAGGCCCTCAGCTTGGGGCTGGAATCCTTTCAGGGCACTGGTTGCTCTCCTCTATCATTTATTTTAAAATAAGCTGCGCGGAGCTGTAATTCAAGCTTTGCTTAGACAGCGAGTTTCAGATACTTGGCATCCAGGGCTCTGGAGAACAGTCAGTTTTGTAGGTATCTTATAAACAGGTTTCAAGGGAGTTGGATTTTTCGGCATAAATCTGTTTAATAAATGAACGTGTAGACTTCCTATGCCCTTTGCAAGAATGACTTAGCTCTTGCTACTTCTAAGAAAAATATTCCCTTAATGTTCTTGTTGCTTTGCAACAGAAGAAGGCATCTGAAGTAATTTTTTTTTTTCCCCACTGGAAATGTGCCTAAAAGCTCAAGGCTTTAGGAAGGAGTAAAGCGTCACCAAAAATGACCAGAAGTTCAGGAGTTAAGCAAACAAAAGTAGAAAAGCCCGTTTCATTTGTAATGGAAACCTTGAACGTTACGGGCCAGACCGTGGCCTGAACACGTTAAAATCGGTCACCTCTTGCTTACCGATGGGCAAAGGCTCTGGTGGGGACGGCAAAAAAACCTGAGTGGTTTGGGCTGCTGAGCGGGGGGCTGCCTAGGAGAGGCTGGTGTTAGGCCAGGCCTGCAGGACCAAGGCAGAGCGGGGAAGGTTTGATGGAAGGTTTGATGCTGGAATGTGTCGACGGGGGGAAAGGTCTCTAAAGGAAGGTTGTGCTGACTGTAACTTTTGCTCATTTGGGGGTGTGTGTGTGTGTGTCTTTTTTTTTTTTTTTTTTTTTTTTTTTTTTTTTCCCTGTGACCTCACTTGTGTGGGAGCTGATTCTTGAGAAAAAAATTTAAAACTTGATTCAGTCCGTTGACGAAGCAGTTGTGGGCGTAACGCAACGTTCCCAGAGTGAGCTGAAATCTTCACCTGACTGGGGAAAAAGCCACGCTGCTGAGGATTTGCCTTGACCAAGACTGCCCCAAAGGTCACCTCTCTGGAGGAAGTCCCGTTTCTTAGAAGGGCCAGATACTCCCTTTCCTTCCTCAGAGTAGCTGTGTCTCAGTCCCTGATGCTCTTGTTCAAGATAAAGCTGCCCTTGTGCTGCATCTGCTTTCCTCTGTAGCTGGAGGCTTTTCTGAATTGGTTTTGTTTTTTTCTTTCTAGACTTAAGCAGAAAGGCATGTTAAACGCTTTTTATGACTCTCCAGCCATAAGCTGCAGGCATCTGACATTAAACCAAATGGAGACACGGGGGGAAGCGGGTTTTCGGAAATAATCCCTGTAAAAGCAAAGGCTGAGGCACACGGAGCGTGAGCGCCTGTAAAGTTCCCCGACTTTCCAGCGGGTGCCAGCTAAAGAGGGAGCCTTCATCTCGCTGGGTGCCAGCCAAGATCAGGGGAGTTCGGAGCGAGGCAGCGTGCGGCCGCCTTGCAACTGGAGCCCGAGCCCGGGGCTGCCAGCATGAGGTTCACGGGAAGGGAATTTCCACCAGGTTTTGTTTTTATTGACAATAGTGCGAAGTGCCAGATGAAATTATCTTTGGGGGAAGATGAGGCTGAGTCCTCCTTCACAAACACGCCATCCCGACTTGATTTTAACCTCGCTGTGGCTTCTAATAATGTGACATCATTCAGGGGCCAAGCTCGTCTTCCTCCGAACTGCTGCTTCTGCCTTCAGCACCGCTTGTCTGGGGTAGGATAATCTCCTCCTTCCTGTGTGAATTAGGAGGAGCAGCAGCAGAGGGGCCCCTAGACCATCCCGACTCCAAACAAAACACCGCTGCAAACAACCCTTTTCCCTCCCCTGCTCTCGTCTTCTCTCCACCGCTGCAGAACAAACGTTTTCATCTCGGGGTGAAAAGATGGTGCAGGGGCAGTCAGCCCACCAAAACCCCTCTCCGGGGCGGTGGTTACCTGGGGAAGGTCAAAGTGCTGTTTGCCAGGACTGGGGTGTGCCGAGGGAATATTCCCAGCTATTTTTTTTCTCGGCTGTTTTCCCATCTGGCCTGACAAGGCAAAGGTGACAAGGACCAATGTTCTGTGTTCCTTCAGCGCTCTCCCCGCTTCAGCTGGAGGTGTTGTCCACAATATGGAAATGCTTTAATTCCAAGTGTCCAAACACAGCCAGAGCAAACCTCAGGAAGGTGAAAGGGGGAGAGGAATTTTGCCAGGTTCTTTGTGATTTATTCTGGAGCAACTGATTGTAAATGGTTGCGAGCTTGTTGGAGGAAAAAAAAAAAAAGCCTGTTGTAGACCAGGCTGCAGCGGGCACGGATTTCTTCCTTACCTCTTTGTTGAAAAGTCTTCTTTGATGCTGGAGGCTTGCAAACAACAGCTCTGCTCCACCTCGGAGCTGGCTGCGTTTCAGCAGCAGTGGGTGTTATGAAATTCCTGCATTTTTAACGCTGATGTATACGCTGCTTCCCGTCGAACGCTCTGGCTGTTCGCTGGAGCTGTCAGAGCGGCGGTGGTGGTGTTTTGTTGTACTCCAGGGAGTGCTCCTCGCTGAGGGACTGGGAATCTCTGGGCCAGTTGGGACTTGGGAAGCATTAATTTGAGCAACCGGTTTTCTGCAGAGATCTGCTGGGGGGGGGAGAGGATGGCAGGACTCCTTCCAGAAGGGTTTTTAACATTCCTGGGATTCCAGGAGAGGGGTCTTGGAGGAGAAAAAAAAACCCCTTCAGATTGTCATCTGTAGGAACAGTCACAGCTATGAGCCTTAAAGGAAAATATTGGCTTTAGGCTTGTTGGAAAACGCAAAATCTACTAAAACAATTCACTTCACTTTGAAAAACAGAAGTGTAATAAAGGGGAGGCAACCATCTGTTGTCTTTGGAAATGTTTCTCTACCAGTTCTCTGCTGGGCACCAGAATGTGATCGGATCTGCTGGCTGCATCAAGATGAGGTTACTGGGGGCTCTGAGAAGCCTTTTCTGTCTGGGGGGACAAGGCTGCACAACACCCTACGGGCCCCTTCGGGACTGGTGGAAACAGGGAACCTCATGGAGTGACTGGAGGGGAAGGGGGGAGACAGAGGGGCTGGGCATGACGGGTGTCTGGTCTCCTTGGTCCTGCCTGCAGCTTGTCCAGAAATACCGTTGTGGGAAGATACCTGAGCTCGGGCTGCAGGAAACACTCCATGGTGGCAAAAGCTGATGTGAGGCTTTCAGGTGGAATGATTTTTGGCTTTGCTGGTAGCGCCCTGGCAGGGTGTGTCAGACCCAAACTCACGCAGACTGGATGGCTAGAGATGAACTAAATGGGTCTTGATTCTTTCAGATACCCCCAGAACCTGAAAATACACAGAATCCCAAACTTCTGTTATGCAGAGAGGTCAAGTGTTGGTTGTTTTTTTTTTTTTTCTAGACAAAGGGATTAGAAAAACTGATAATTAATGTCAAGACATTGAAACCTGAAATAGTCTCTCCCCCCACATAGGCAAGCAGATACTGTTTGGGACAGGTTTCTGCGAGTGTGACAGTTCTTGTATCCCCCCTCGTCCCCACTCCGGTGTGTGGGGACTGATTTGCAAAAGCGCTTCTGACCCTTCGTCAGCCCCGGGTGCTCGGAACTCGCTGGGTCTGCCTGACGTGTGCTGAGCTATTGTGACCGACTGTTGACACTTCAGCCGAAACCAGTTGCGCTGGGCTGTTTCCCTGATTGCTCTGGGTGTTTCTGTATGAAACCATCGCCTCGAAAACACTTGCTCAGAGCTGCTTTGGAACCTTAAAGAAACGAGTAAATCAGAAGTATTTTTAGACTGCTGCCATCCCAAACTGCACGTGCAGCTTTGTAACTGCCCGAAGCCTATCGAAGCCAAATGGTTGCTCTGACCTGGGTTTGACTCCTGGTGCACAGGCGTGGAGCCTTGGCTCAGGGACTTAAAACCAGTGTTGGCAGCACAAGTGCCGGAGCGGCCCGAAAGCGGGGCTGGAAAAGTGGGGGGGGGAGCTGTTTTATTGCAGCTTGGACTTGGGTCTCTTTGGTCTCAAACTAATCATGAAACCAAAAGGATAACAAATACCTCGTGGGAAGGTGAAGGATCTGCCCTGTGTCACTTTAAGATGCTTCAAATCTGAAATGGCTTCTTGTACCTGAAATATCTGTCTAGTTGCAGTAAGGACTTCTTGATGACTTGGATGTTTTCTGTGAAAGCAAGCTTGTCAACTATAGATATTTTTTTTTTTTTTTTCCAAGAAAAGATACTCTGGGATACCTGTTAGTACAACTTTTTGCTGCTTCTAAAAACGCATACGGAAATCCTGGGGAGGGCCCCTGTGTCTCGTGGGTGGCATCATCAGTCTGAAGGTGTGCCATTTGTAAGCGGGTGGTGATGATGGGTTCTGTCTGAGTTTTTGGAGCCCTCGTGAGCTTTCTGGTGTGACTCTGCCCTTTGGAAGGCTGCAGGGGGTAGGGGCAGAGTTTAGGGAGCCTGGTGCAATGTTCAGGTTTTGCAGGACTCGGTAGTTTTTCCCACCCCCTGCTCTCTCAGCCTGGCCTGGTGACCCGTCTTGTCTTCTGCCGGTGTCACTGCTGCTCCGCTTCCACCGACCGCCTGCCCGGCTCTGTTAATGTGTCCTTGGCTCCTCGGCCCTATCTCCTTCCCCTTTGTGCTGGGCTCTTTGTAAATCCCCCGCCTGGTTTACACAACCCTGCCGGGCTCTGCCAGGCTCTCCGGTGGATCTGACTGGCAGCAGATTAGGGTGATGCCTGGTGATAACATTGTTCCTTGGGAAACCCATGATGGTAGGAGGAGGGTGGGAGAGTAGGAAACTGGAGTCGAATGGAAATTGCTGGGGCCTTTGCAGCAGGCGTAAATCAAAATGAAGGGATGCTGTGAACTCAGTGGGGTTTTTTTTCCTTCGTAACTTGTGCAGCTCTGCTTTGTTAGCCCTAAGCGCGCTGCTGGTATTTGCACAGGACTTAGCAGGTGGGATCATCTCGGATGTCTCAAGGACTAGCTAGACTGACGTATCATAAACGTGAGCTCTTTTTCTAGCAGTGATATGTTTTTGCCATGTTATAGCAGGAAAATCCTTTCTGCTCCGTGCCTCAGTTTCCCTTGTGTCTTAGGACATCTCTTCCTCCTCCTGGTTTCTTCCCCATTTCAGGGTTTCTTGCGTGGCTGTGGAGGGCCAGATCCTGACCTGCCAGCCCGCTGGAGGTGCGGGCGCTGTGGCTGGAGGCTGTGAACCAGCCTTCTGGTGCCAAGGCACAACAGCTCCTCCACCGTGGGCTCACACCGGGGCAGTGGGAGGATCCACGCTCCTGCGGCGGGGCGAGGGCGAGCGTGGGAGAACCAGTACGGCGGGAGCACTGGGACCAGAGGGTGCCAGTTCCCACAGAGCAGCACCTCGCCGCTGGGCTCGGAGCTAACTCCTTCCAGCCAGAACCGGAGATGCTCGGAAAGAGGCTTCGCCCTCCGCGAAGGCAGCGAGGACTCGGGTTACCGCTGCGGGGGCTCCGCGAGGGACCCGCCCAGGGGAGGACCCGGGGAGGGACGGGCTCCTCCGAGCCCTCGCGAACTTGCCTCCCAGGAGCCAGCGTTTCCGAGCGGTCCGTGATGGATTCTGGGGCTGGAACGCTTGTCTGAAACTTTCCTGTAAGGCACTTGGCTTTTTTTTTTTTTCCTTCTTGGAAAGAATCTCTGCGCTCCGAAGATGGGGATCTCCTCGCTGGAGAACTGCCCGGGTGTCCTGTGGTGGGGAGACCAGCGCTGAGTGCCAGGTTTGGATGTGGTGCTTGTGCTTTCAGGTAAGATCAACTCTTTTTTATTTTTTTTTTTTTTTTTTTTTTTTTTTTTTTTTTTTTTTTTTTAGTAAACTCGTACTGTTTGCGGCTTCAAAATACAGCAGTGCTTTTGGGGTGTTTGGCCACGGCAATCCGTGTGTGATGGGCATGGGGAGAACAGGTTGGATTTGGGTCCCTGTGAGCCTTCATAGAGCCATTGTTCTGGCTTGACTGACGCTGATTGTGGTTATTTATTGGTGGGAGGATAAATCCAGGCATTCATCCCCCTCACCTCCACACTGCGCTGCCTGGCGGTCTGTTAACAAGTGTTGAATGTCTTCCCGGCTCTCCAGGAGCTGACTGGCATTTTCCACTTTTGCAAGCAAGAGGAAATGGGAGAAGGGAGGACGCTTACACCTTTACTTTCTGTTAAAGGACTCTGAACTTGGGAACCCGTTCACCGAGTAAGGAGGGAGACAGACGGCGTACGCGGATGGATAACACTTGGCGAGGAGAAAAGATGAATTCCGTGCTGATTTTTTTTTTTGTGTAGTGCTTCCTACCAAATTGCAAAAGCTGTGCTTGATTTTAAGGGCTGGAGAGACTTGGGCAGAGTTTGAGGTAGCGTGATTAGGGCAGAGGTTCTCGCGTTTGGATGTTGCTCAAGGAAAGGGGCTGCCGAATTGTTGCAGTGCGTAACTAGAGGCTTGTTTTACTGAGTAAACAATGCTGGTAGGGGAAAAAATCTTGTCAGATCCTGCTGGGGAGTGTAAGGCCACAGAAGGGGGTTGCTCGGACACTGAACAATAGACTCATCCAGCTCCTTTGTGCATCATGGCACCAGCCTGACTTTCTGCTTGCTGCTGTGGGCAGGGTGTTCCCCTTTCCCCGGCGCTGCCTGGTAAATTCTGATTTGTGACATTGTCTGCCCTCGATGCCAAGCTCCAAGGTCGGTTTTCTAACTGCAGGGTGGCAGGGAAGTGGTGCGGGAGGTGCCAGCACCAGTCCCCAGCATTAACCCGTCAGTCCCGCCTGGACCCACCAGCCCAGGGTACGGCACGGGATTCGGTTGTAACCTGCGTGCATCTGGGAGGGATTTGCAACTCTCAAACTTCTCCCCGGGCTCTGAGCGGGTCTTGCCTAAAGAAGCATTTCAGGCGTTGTCATTAAGGACAAATGCTGAGGGATTGTTCCTCTGGATCAGCTCCCTTGTGGGTCCACCCAGCTCTAATCCCCATCCCAGTAAACTCCCATTGAACCAGTACTTGCATCATGCTCTCAAAGTTTGCTGTTTGCCAGGAGGAAGTTTATGGGGCCTGTCATAGCTGTGGAATCTTTAATATTTGCAACAAAATAAGCTCGGTCTCCATAACTTCGTGGCAATTTTAAAGCTACTCTTACCTGGATTAAATTTGTCTGGGTGTCAGCTCAGAAATTGGTGAGAATAAGACCTAGATCCATTCACACGTTATTTCACTGTGGTGTTTTAACGTTCCTGAGAAACGCAATCACAGTGTGAGCTTTGTGCTACACTTGAATTCTGTTACCATCTTCACTGTAGCAGTAAAACTTCTATAACTGAGGGGGGAACACTTGTGCTACTCCACAGCGAAAATGTGAATGGGATTAAATGGCATTTGGCTTGTTTGGAGGCTGGACAATATTTAGAGGTCTCCGAACCCAGATACCACTTCAGATTCTCTCCTTTCCCCCCTCTTTCTTCCCTGGGCATCCACAGGTGTAATCTTAAAAAGGCGATTTACCTAACTTCAGCAGCTATTTCCTCATTGCTTTGGGATTAAAGGTTTCAAAAACGTTTTGAGGAAACTGTTTTGCATGAGAGAGCCCCGGATTTGGATCTGGGCAGGCACCAAATACACCCTGTGAAGGTGGTCACTACCCGCCTGTGATTCACTGCCAGTTGGGGCTGTTCTGGGCTTGTTTCCCTTCCTCCTTCCTCCACCACTTTCCCCTGTTCAAGCCAAACACTCCCCAGTTACCCGCCAGGTCACCACACGGCATCTCTGGGGACCCCACTTGGGAGGTTTTGGCCCCTGTGCTGCGCTTGGACCTCACGACCCCGGAGCAGCCCAAAGCTCAGGATCTACAAACATCCCAGGAGCTGAAAAGAGAGGAAAGATGGACTCGGGACATAGCACTAGCCTGCGACTCCATCCCCTGGGGCAGCATCTGCCGCCTCCTTTTCCTTTTTTTCCCCACCAATATTTGTAAAAAAATAACAATTCCTTATTCAGCAGACCTTAAAGCCCGTGTGTTCAGCTTTCTCGCCCCGCTGTAGAGACACCCACGTGGCGGGGCAGGCCGATGCAGAGCCCGTCAGGCAGCGGAGATCAAAAGTTCAGCTCCAGGTAAAACAGGGTTTCCCGGCACAACCACCCTGTTTGCACAACTCGGCGTGGGTGCGGTGCAGGTGAGGAGAAACCTGCCTGCACCTCCCTGGGACTAACAGCGGCCTCGAGAGCTCCTGCTGCAGCGTCCTGGAAAACTGCTGCCTCCAGAGTGGCGGAACACGCACGTAATGAAAGCCCCTGAGCTGTGTTTTGGGTTTAGGGGGGGTTTAAAAAGTGAACTGTGAGTCGTCAGGCTTTTGGGGTTTCCTCCCTGTCGGAAGAGGACTGTGCTCTTGCTGTGTGGTCTGCGTTAAGCTCGCTCTAAACCGAGGATGGCAGCCGAGCTGGTGAGAGGACGGGGAGAACCAGGGACTCCCTGTGCAGAACACACCAGGGTAAGGAAAAACTGGGTCACTTTTCAGCACCTCAGTGCCGCAGGGAAGGAGGCTCCCAATGGGGTTTGCCCATCCTGGCGGGGCCCGCGGCCAGCCCTGACCAGAGGTTTCCAGGGAAGGAACACGAACATCTGCTGTGGGGCGTAACGCTCGGGCTGCTGCTTGTCCCTCCGGTTTGTTTGTGGTGCTGTATTTTTTTTTTTTTTTTTTTTTTTTTTTTTTATGGACAAGTAACACGAGTCAATTACCAGGTTTAAATTCTGACTCTGTAAGGTAAAATATCCTTTAACTTAACATGCTGCTGCATGCTTGGCCGTCTGTAGGACGGGAAGTTAGATTCCCGGAGGTGCTTTGCAAATTAAGACTTCACATCGTGATCCAGGTGAGCAGCTTGTCTGGTCTTGCTCCCAGCAATGCCCAGTGTGTCAAAGAAATGTAAAAAGTCCTTCTTGAGGCATAAAGACCTTTTCCTATCAAGTTTTTCTACCGAGTTCAGGGAGTTTTTGAGTTGCAGCCTTGCTCCAGACCAGGAAGGGAGTTGCTTCCCTTGCTGCCCAGGTGAGTTGCTGGGTGACACTGGGTGCTGACTGGCCGGTGGTTGCCTAGCCTGGAAGTGCTGCCGGATTTCCAGGTGATCCCACTCTTCCAGAGATCCAGCCCCAGGGTTGTATGTGCTGACTTTGTGCCGCCGTTGACTTTTCTGGGCTGAGGAGTTTGTTTCTGCCCAGGTCTGTGTGCTTTTTGCCTCTGGGCGAAGTTTGGGGGATGCTCACCTGTTGTGGAAGGGTTGGGAAGAGCTGCCTTCGGAGCACTGTTCGGGAGCAGCTGAGCATTACCCTGAGCAATAGAACTGCTGGGGAAGGACAAGCTGCCAGCTGAACCAGGAGCTGGAGTCCTGGGGACTGCAACAGCTGCAGAGGCTCCCAGTCTTCATCAGAGCCTTGTTTAGGGACTGGCTGATAAACCCTCTTTGCTGCCGTTTTGTTTTTACATTTCTGAAGTCGGACATCTGGGACAACAAGAATAGTTTTGTCTGCCGTCCCCATGAAGCTGCGTGGGCTGGACAGGGAGAATCTCTTATCAGATCTGGCAAACCTTTATTTCTTCCCATGAACATTCACGTCTTTGCTGCATCCTCGCTATGTCTTTGAGGACAGATGAGGACTCAGCCTGCGAGACGTGTAGTTCTGTCTTTGAGCCCAGAAGTAGTTTCCTGTTGCTTGTGTGGTTGTTTGTGTGTTTCAAGCTCTTCCCCGCCTCCAGCTGTGTCAAGGGCATTATCATAAGGCTCCGCATCTCCCTGGTTTGTAGTGGTTGTGTGTGCAGGCACGAGCTAACGCTACTCTCGTCCCTCTTTAGGACAGCAGCGATGAAGCACTGTTTTTACAATGAGACTGTGGGGTTCTTCTACAACAACAGCCGCAAAGAACTGACCACGTACTGGAGGACGAAGGATGTGCTGGTGGTTGCCCTGGGCCTGACTGTGAGCGTCATCGTGCTCCTGACTAACCTGCTGGTCATCACCGCTATCATCATCAACCGCCGCTTCCACTACCCCATCTACTACCTGCTGGGGAACCTGGCAGCTGCCGACCTCTTCGCTGGCATCGCGTACATGTTTCTCATGTTCCACACGGGGCCCAGGACAGCAGAGCTCTCCCTGAAGACCTGGTTCATCCGTCAGAGTCTGCTGGACACCAGCTTGACAGCCTCTGTGGTGAACCTGCTGGCAATCGCTGTAGAAAGGCACCAGACTGTGTTCACCATGCAGTTACACAGCAAAATGTCCAACCAGCGGGTGATGATCCTCATCTTCTGTATTTGGGTCACGGCCCTGCTCCTGGGGCTCATCCCGTCCTACGGCTGGCACTGCCTCTGTGCCCTGGAGAAGTGCTCCAGCATGGCACCGCTCTACAGCAGGAGCTACCTGACCTTCTGGGCCATCTCCAACCTGGTCATCTTCCTCATCATGGTGGTCGTCTACACGCACATCTTCATCTACGTCAAAAGGAAGATGACACGGATGTCCAAGCACACCAGCTTCCACCCCCGCTACAAGGAGACCATGATCAGCCTTGTCAAGACGGTCACTATTATCCTGAGTAAGTCCCCTCGCTCTTGCCAAACCTGAATGATGCTTTGGGCTGCGTGGGGTTGGTGAGGGACGACGGGGAGCGCTGGGAGGTGACGTTGTGCTGCTGGGGCGGTGGTTGGGTTTGGCTGCTGAGGAGCTCAGCACTTTCAGGACTCGGCATGAATTCCGAGTGAGCTGTAGCGGGTGGGAGTGCCCTGGCAGGGGGGAGACCTCTCCTGAGTCTCTTGCCCTCTGAGATGGCCGCTGCTCTGCTCAGCAGAGCCTGGAGGATCTGTTAGTAGTGGGGCGTGGTGGTACCCGGCTGCCGCAAGCGCAGGTGCTTTGGGCACAGAAGTGGCTCTTTTACCTGCTCAGCTCCGCTCTGCTTCCTCCATGGAAGGGTGGCGGGGAATTCGGAGCTGTAACTGGGCCTCCGTCCAGCAGCACCACTCGGTACATCCTTCGTTAAAGAACTGAGAGAGGTTTGGGGCAGATGTTACAAGGTGATGGGGAAAGAATGAAGGAGTTGCCTCCAAATTCCGTGCTGTTGACTGGAACAAAGCACTGAACTCTGTTCAGATTTTTTTTTTTTTTTTTTTTTTTTTTTTTTTTTTTTTTTTTTTTTTTTTTTGAGCAGCTCAGTACCAGGGCACAATCTGCTCGGATAAATTACACCCCTGGAAGCTCTCGGCTCTTAGCTCGAGCTGCTCCCTGTGCGCACGGGATCTCCAGCAGAGCACTGACTGTCTGTCAGGCTGTCCGCATACAGTCTGTCGTGCACACAGGGGCAGAGCACTCACTGGAAGCAATCGGCGCTGAGGCTCTGCCTCTCCAGAATATTCAACTTTGGTTAAGTGCATCTAACAGCGGAGGCTGCCGCATCCCTTGTGCTTCCAACAGCCCATCGCCCCACGATTTCTTTAATCTGTTTTTGCCTCGTGCTTTAATGGTCTGACAACCTTTCTTTAAAGTGAAATAAATCACCACGCTCAGATCTTCCGCAACCCAGCCCCTACGCTGGGCTTACGGTCACAACCTCTTGCAAATCTTTCCTGATAAGCACAGAATTTGCTCCGTCAGGGAAACCTTGTGGCTGCAAACAAAGGCTACTCCCTTGTGAGCTGGTGCTGACGGAGTGGGGCTCAGCGGGGGTGGGAGCAGGATGGGGGGGGTTGGCTTGGTGTGTCCCTGCTCGGGGCTTGCCGGCTCCTGTTGCAACTTGTGAGCGCCGAAACCGGAGTTTTCTGCCCGTTCCTGCCTTTCCTGTGATGTCTTCCCCCACCTTGCAATCTCTCCATCTCCTGTGTGCAGCTGGGAGTTCATTGCTGCCTTGGAGCTGATCGGATGCTGCACAGAGTCAGTGGGGCTGAAGAATGATTTACTTCATATGTTTTGCACAGTCCCCAGTGGAGAGAAAAGGGGTTTTTTTTGTTCCCTTTTTCTTCCTGAACAGCATCAGAGGATGACCCCGTGGTGTTGACAGCATCGTTTAGTTTTATGGGTCTTCACACCATCAACTGGAAGAGGGTTGGCGGGGGGGGGTGCTGCTGAGGACAGTTGTTTTGGGAGATCCCTTTCCTCTGTGTCCCCCCTCCTGGCTTGGCCTGCCTGCCTTCGTCCCCTGCCTTGGGAGGGAAGAGCTGGGCTCGGAGGAGGCTTTGCGGGGAGTTGGGACTGGTGACTGAGGTTCGGACAGAGTGGAGAGGAGCCCAGAGTGGAGGCTGAAGGGAGGATGAGGACTCATCAGGCCTCTGGGACTCCTGGAATCCGAGGGTTTTCCCCTTCCTCTGCGGGGCAGTGCCGGAGAGAAGCAGCAGTCAGTTCTGTACAGGTCCCGTGTGTGGGAGGGAATTGCTCAACTCGGGGAAAATACCTTTCTGTTCAGAGAGTCCGCAGAGGGTTTTCGCCCTCCCTGTGAAAGTCCGGGTGTAATTCCTTCTCCACCCTCGTTCCCCAGCCTTCTGCAAACTTGGACTCTGCACAGAGGAATATTTTGTGCCTTATGCATCCGAGGGTGTAGCTGGTGAGTGTGCGAGGCGGCGGAGGGCGTGGTAGGAGCTGTCTGTGGGTGCTGCTTCATCACGAGGCCAGCCTGGCTGCGGTTGATAATCCTGCAGGTCCTGGGCGTTAAGAACAGGTCTAGGACCTGACCTGGAAACCAACCATCAGTCCAAGGTACATCTGGAAACCAGTAGCAGGTTTTCCCACAGCCCAGCCGAGTGACACGGGAGGTGATGGTGACCAAACCGCAGGGCAGAGTCGTTTGTGACCACGTGCTGTTGGATTATTAAGAGTTCAGGTGGCTTCCTGAATACTTTAGCTTCTATTAAGGAGCAGGAAATCAGGTGGATTTGCAGGCGAAAGAAACTTTAGGTACCTCTTTTTGGTTTTCCCCTCTCATTTTCAGTCTGCCTCTGGCTTTACTTAGTGCTGCTGGGAGCCAGGCTCCAGAAAACCTAGCTTGCCTTGTGGTTGCTGAAAACCTGGCTTAAAAAAAATTACATCACTAAACTAGGGAGACCCTTTCCCACAGGCTCACTCAAAATAGAAGTATTGGACCTTCCTTCATGACAGCCAGGAATCTGTTTTGTGTATTTGCTAAATTTAAATGGGGCAGAGCTGTAGTCTGCAAGTGTGGGGAAAGCTGCCTGGCCCCGACGTGGCGGCTGCTGTGGTGACCCCCTGGGAGCGGGAGTTGCTTAAACAAAAAGGGTTACCTGGTGCAGTGACCTGAAATCAGCGGGGAGCCCTCCTGGAAACCCAGGAGATCCCTCCCACGTGTCCCTTTGACTTTTCCTCCATGCAGCGTTTCACTCGGTGACAGCTGTAAATTCAGCCCCTCGGTTTTGGTGCAGCTCCTGTGGCTGTCGCTCTTTCCTGAGGGATGTTTTTCAGTGAAGGGTGTAGCTGCGGAGTTCCCAGCAAGTCTCGTTCTCTTCCAGCCTTTCCCAGAAGACCCGGCAGGGTGCAGCTCCTGTGCCTTAAGACACAACCCTGTGCGTGACCTCCAGCAGCACTGTTGGGCGAGCGCTCCCTTTACGTCAGCCTTCAAATCACGGCTGTGAAAAAAAAAAAAAAAGGGGTTTAGGAGCTGCAGGCACCTCCTGCTGTCATGCAAAGCAGTCATTACCCTTTTGCCAAGGAGCTTTGCAGGTGGTGGCAAGAATGTGCTACAAGCCCGAGTGAATCCGTGGTGGACTCCGTCCAGCTCGGGCGTGCTGTTGGCCAGCCCGTTGCTCGGCTATTTTCTGCTCAACGTTTAATTGTGTGAGAGATTTCATCAGCCTGCCCAAAGTGTTGGCCAGGATTCTAAACTCGTACTGCTAACTAAACCCCCATAAGCTCTATGGGCAGTGGAGATTATTTAGTTCAAGATGTGTCACTCTGACTCTTTCCTAATTTTATGGCCTGTTCCCCTTTTTTTTTGGGAAGGAATGGCACGTAAATAGGAAGCGTGGATGTTTTATCTTCGCTCTCTAAATGCGACGATGGGATGAGGGGGGGAGGTGGAAGGACTTGGAAGTGTTGCTCTGAGTGAATGGGGTGGGGAGAAGCCGTTGTCTCCATTTTTACAATTTGCTGGTTGGATCTTTGGTCTTCCTCCAAAGCAGAAATACAAAGTGAAACTAGTTGTTTTTCTTTCTTCCCATTTAAACTTTTTTTTTTTTTTTTTTCACAAGATAAATCACCAGCGATCCCATCTTGCTGGTGAGTGACTGGGCAGGGCCAGCAACCTGCTTTTTCTCTAACAGGGGTTCTTCTCTCCCCAGGTGCTTTTGTTATCTGCTGGACTCCAGGACAAGTCGTGCTCCTCCTGGATGGCTTGGGCTGCAAGAGCTGCAACGTTCTAGCGGTGGAGAAATACGTCCTTTTGCTGGCAGAGATCAATTCGTTGATAAACGCTATTGTCTACTCTTACAGGGACAACGAGATGCGTAGCACCTTCCGGAGGATCCTCTGCTTTGTCTGTTACAGGAATTCTAAATACACCCCCACGGTGGTGAAGTTGAACACCACAGACCGCAGGACACTTTCTCAGAACGGGCACTTTACCGTGGATTCCTCCATTTAGCTCTCGATCGGTGAGACCAGCACGGCGCTGAGCAGCGCCTGCTTGGGGGGAAGAGCAGAGGCCAGGAGCGACCTGCTTCTAAAGCAGTACAGACTATATTTTTTTTTTTTTTTACGTGCTCAAGCATCAATATTTCTCTAGAATACCCGTCGTGGATGAAGGACAAGATGCTTTTAAGGAACTGCTGGACGGCGCGTTGTTTAGGCCGGACGTACTTTTTGAGTCGCGTTGTTATTAAAGACTGCTATTTCTAACGCAAAGTTGATTTGATTTGGCAGCATCTAGGAGGATGCGATGTGCAACGGGCATCTCACGTGATCTCTCGACGAGCAAAGTATTTTCTCGGTACTTCAGTATTACTGCCTTCAGAACTAGTCGTTGCAGCGGTAGCGTACTCCAAAGAGCTCTTCGGCTTTTACGCGTTGCTTCCTAAACAGAGCTGCTTAGTGCTTCCCCAGAGAGCCTTAACCCAGTCGTGTCCCACGTGCTTCGGAAGGAATATTCTTCTTAAAGCCTCTTCCGAGAGGAATCTGTTTGAATTGCTTTCTGAGGAGCAGATTCCTGCTTTCTGAAGTGTCTGTTGTTGAGTTTTAAAGTATTCCGGGCTTTTGGAGGATGCTTTAGGAGCACCTAATTCTTTCCTAAAAGGGAGAGTGGTGCTGTAACAGTTGTGTTTGCGTTCTGCTAAGCGATACCACGTGGGTTTATTCACAAGCTCATTGCCTATTCATAAACCATCCCTCCACTCGCTGAAAGCCCTTGGGGACAGGTTTAGGTTAGATTCCAAGGCGATCAGTATTTTTGCCTTGGGTTTTAATGTGCAGTTTTGTACCTTTGCCCAAATAACGTGTTAACCGTCTGGTTTGAATGTAGTCTCGCTCTCAGCAAAGCACCATTAACAAATTAGCAGTATTAATTGATGTTAGTGCACGTAGGAGCTAGTTTTCAGAGTAAGTCCACTTGCTGCATCTGACACGGTATTAACTGTCACCCTGGATTGGGAGGCCATGGCTGGAGGGCAGAGGCTCTGCTGGTCGGAAGAATATTCCCAGCTGAGAAACTGGAAATACTTCAGATTTCCTTCTCCTTCGCGCTGCTAAATTTTAACAGTGTGAACATGCCTGCGACAGTCTGAAATCCAGAGTGTGAGTTGTTTATCTTGGGCATCTGTGAGAGCAGGGAGAGGCCAGCAGAAGGCAGGTCTTGGAATATTGTCTAAATTTTTAATTTCGGAGGTTTTTATTAAAGGGCGCTGTTCTGTCCGATGATCAGCTGCTTGGCTGATCCCTTCAGCGGGCTCTGCAGAGGAGACAACGTGCTGGAGGCATTGTAACTCAAATCCGCGTGGATGGACTTTTTCTGGAAGAAATGGTCAGGAAGTGAGTGTTAAGGTGACAGTCTCCTAACGCAGCCTTGGAGTATGGTTCCTGTCTCTGTGTCCCAGAGACTTTTTGAATAAATATTTTTTATTTTGTCCTGGGTTTTAGAAAAGATGACTTGGAATTTTTCCCCCGTTTCCCCATTCGGAAGCCCTGGGAAAAGCGCCGTCCTCCAGAGGCGTGTGGTGATGCTGGGAGGGGTCCCAGCCTTGGTGCTTGTCGCCACTGTGACTCGTGGTGCAGTGGCCCTGCCGCTGATCTGCCTTCCGGGCGGGTTGTCTCCGAGGTGCTCCCAGGGCTCTACAGCTCTGGCTGGGGGGGCTGTAGCCTCCAGAAAGGCCACGCAGAGAACTGGAGGAAGTAACTTTGAGGCTGACCCGGGGGTGAGACTACAGCCTCGGTCTGTTGCTGGCAAACACCAGCCACGGCTGGTGTGGGGACGTTTCACACTGCTAAAGCGTACCAGGCGGTAGGGCTAAGAGAAGGCATAACTTTAATTTTATTGCCAAAGATGACTTCTAGTTACTTTTACTTTCCCTGGAAAATGTTATGAAGACACAGGAACCCCCTGCAGTGGGAGCAGGTGCTGGATTAGCTGGAGGAGGACTGGAAAGGTGTTCCAGGGAGTGACGGGGGGGACAGAACACACTTGGACTTTCCTTTCAGCTTTCCTGAACATCCCCAGGGCAGGAGGAGCACAAGTCCTACTTCATGCAAAGCTGCTTTGACCATTCAATACATGCCAAGCTCTGCTTTTATTAACAAAAGGGGAAGGAGGAAATATCAAAGTTCACGTGGCTTAGGCGTGCGATTAGTGCTGGTGTGATTTAACGGGGGGGTGTGAATTATCTGTGCTGCCTTTGGGGGTGAATGAGTCTTTGTAAGGGGCGAGGTGATGACACTTGGCTCCCAAAAGAACTGCAACTGGCTTTCAGGCCCTGTTGGGATTTTATTAAGCTGCCCACGTCCTTCCCAGAGGGGTCTGGTAGCAGCCTGACCTCTGCGCCTGCTTCTCGAGCTGCCCCGCTCCGGCAGGCACTTCCATGTAAGTACCAGCACCAGGCAGGCTTCACATCCCTGACAACAAACTCTGGCTGCTCTATGATCACCCTGTAGAAAGGATTCTTTCTGATGGCTTTTTTTTTTGTTTTCAGTGTTTTAAATGACTTATTTGAGCTTAGACTAAGTGCGATCATACACAACACTGGTGGGAAGCGTATCGAGGACTTGACCGCTTTGTGCCAGGCAGAACATCCTGACCCCCGGGAGGCTGTCGACACTTTCCTTATAAAACCAGCCTCTGGATGATGGTAACAATGTCCGGATGCAGCCTGTGGGCTCCAAACTGCTCGATTTTCACAAAGGTAAATAGCAACTGATTAGTGTAAGGAGAAGGGAAAAAAAAAAAAAAAAAGTCCCAAACCTTTAATGGAGCTTGTCTGGGTGAGGGCTGGCGCATGTTGGGAGCCGAAGGGGGTTGCCTGGAATTCTTCAGGGGGATTTCTCTTCCCGAGCGACCCGCGGATTTCTAGTTGTTTCCAGCTGGCTGTAACAGAGGAGAAAGCAGGAAATGAGGAGTCATCGAAAGTAGCCCAGAAAGTGCTGGTTTTCAGTCAGATTTGAAAAGAAACGGTGAATCAACAAGGCAGAGGAGGTGGGAGAGGGATAACATCCTCCCCCGCGAGGCAGATGGGAGAGGGGGAGACATAAACGGTGTTAGACAGAACACGCATCCCCAAAACCAGGGGTTAGGCTGTGCGGTACCCCCCATGACTTTACTTTCGAGTTTTATTTGGAAGGACAAAGCCTCGTCTAACTACATGGAACCACGTCACGCCGTGGTTTTCCACTTGCTGCGTCCTAAACAAGTGCTGCAGCAAAGGGTGTGGTGTTACCCGATTACATGTTCGTTTTCCAAAGCCTTTAAATATAACTTTTAATATGGTATACGGAGCTGGATGCTGCCAGGCTCTTGGGATAGCTTTTATTTTTTTAAAAAAAATTCATGATTCATAACCTGTGGTGTGTCCAGCTTAAATGTGGCAATATCCCTCTTTTCAGTTTGAGAAGACCCCCTGCTTTTTTTTTTTTTTTTTAAATCACAATATGAAACTGCCATTGAAGGGTCATTGCTGGTTTCGTCAAGCTTTTATTTTTAGGAGGAAATCTCCCTGAAATTAGTGTGTGTGTGTTTTTGGTAGGGTTTTGTTGGTTTTTTTTTTTTTTTTGAGGCATGTGAGACTGTTCTAGACTTATTGTGTGTTGGGTGGGAGGAAGGAAGAGACACCTAGGAACTCTTTTAAAGGGATCAAATGTGGGACAAGGGAGAACACACAGCTTGATCAAAGATCGGCCGTATGGCTCCAGGAATGAGGGGTCGTGCCTTGCTGACTGGTTGGAATTCCTTAAGCAAGCTGCTGCCAAAAGTAATATGGATTTTGGTGTGTTCTTCGGGGAGGGTAGCACGGGAGACTAATACTGTAGGGACTGACGGACTCTGAAGGTTTATTTTATTGAAGAAAAGGAATCCAGCAAAACCCAACCTGCAGGAAGGGGGAAAGGCAGAACAAAGGGGGAAAGCGAGATAAATAAGGGGAAGCTGGTGGTGGTGGGTTTTTTCTTTGTTTTTAAACTTCAGTTTGTCATCCCTCTGACCTACTGAGACATGCAAAACGAAAATCAAGGTTTCTGCTAGACTGTAAGTGCAGCCAATGCAAAAGTTAAACTTTTTGGAGGCAGTTAATGCTTTTCTGTCTAGGGCAAGAGTGGAATATCCAGGCTGAGAGCTGCTTTGTCATGTGCAAGGATGAGAGGTGTGGCGCCGGGGGCCCTGGTCTGCAGGACCAGGTGGTATTTTAGGGCCCACCCCTACATCTGTGTTGTGCTTCCCCAGCTGAAGGCTGCTGAGGAGACAACAAGCACCTGGAAGCTTTTGTGGGGCGAGTTCTCCTCGGCGTAGGACACCATCGGGGCAGTCGTGAAGCCCCGTATCTCTCTGCAGCGGGCTGGCACGCAGGTACCCAAGGTAATTTAAGAAAGGTCAGGCTGGTGGTGTAACCGTGGGTTCCCGTGGTATTTCCGTGCAAAGCATTTCTATAGAAGGCACGATGTTTAGCAGCAGTGGCTGGGTTTCCCAAGTCCGTGCTCCCACACGGTATGGGAGCGTCACTTCTGTGAGCAGAAGGGAGGAGCAGTTGCGTCCGTGTCCTGTCTCATCCAAAAGCTCTTACAGCCCCGAGTCCAGCTTCGAACAGAGTTTCTGGAAAATGTTTCTGAGCTTGGTCTTGCCCAGGTTTTGTTTGTCCTTATGCTGTGGCTGTCCCAGAGAACAGAGCGGGCGCCAGAAGGAAGAGGTAAGGAGGGGATCTGACCTGCCTGCATTTCCCAGCGGGGAAAATAAAACCGTCCCTCAGTTGCTCCCACTCATTTCCCAATAAATCTCACCTCAGGCTCTCCCGTAGTGGTGACAGAGCATTCACCTGACGGCTTGCCTTGTATCTGGAAAGGAGCGTTCGTTTGTCGTGTTCACCCTTTTCATGGCAGAACCAGCCTCACTCTCTAGGCTTTCATTTGCTCACTGAAAGCAAGGAATAGAAACCAGAAAAAAAATGCACCTAGGGCTTCTCCAAAAGAATTAATTTTTTTTTCAAATATACCTGTAGATACCAATAGAGCTGCAAAGTGTCCCCATCACAGCCTTAATGTCCTGAGCACTACACGGGGAGAAAGCCTCAAGGCGGCAGGAGAAGATCTTCCTCCACAGTTTCATAATCATGGGCTCATCCAGATTTTGGTGCCACCAACCAGAAAGTAAGAGGAGCTCGCACACTGGATTTCCTTCTGGTATAGCCATTTTTCACAATTTTTTTTTTTTTGTGCTACTCACCTCTGATTTTTAGCCCTTAGCACCCACTTTTGTCCTGGTAGGGCTAACGTAGCGTGGTAGAGCAGAGGGCTGTGGAGACAGCAGTGGCTAATTTGCTGCTGGGGTGTATGGTGGCAGAGAAACAGAAATGATTTTGGCACTGCTGCTTTTCCCCTCTTGCTGTCTCTTGTGCCTTGGGGAGCTTCAGTGAACTGCTGCCTGCTCTTATTTTCTCTCCGGCTATCAGGGAAATCACACTTTTTATTGTAAATAGAGATCAAAGATGAGTCTTTGTATCTTGATGTTTTCTGGCAGGGGCTGCTGCAAGTGTAATGCAGCTTTTGGTGCTTGATCAGTTTTATTTTACTCTCTGATCTGGCTGTAACAAGCCACTTCGTTCAGAGCCCAAATCAAAGTAAAACCCATCCGTGTTTGGAAATGATAGAAACCAAGAAGTTTCCAAGAGCCACTTGACAAAGCTGAAGGTCAAAGCCAGAGCATCCTAAGGCCCAGAGCGTCCCAAGGCCCAGAGCGTCCCAGCTGAGCAGGGGTGGGGTGTCCTCGGGGTAGTGATGGGGACCTGTGTCACCCTGGTGCTCTGAGCCACAGACCGTGCGGTGGTTTCATCCCCTGTGGCAGAGCCCTGACGTTCCTCAGGCCATCACAGGGGTGGCCGAGGGATGGATATAGGTGAGCAACTGGAGGTTGGAGCTGCAGGAATCACCCCGAGCAGAAGGTGGGAGCAGCACGGCTGCCCACACGATGGGATGCAGCTCTCCAGAGCCCATGGACATCTCTGCGAGTGCTGCTTGGAAATGGTGCCTGGATGATTCTCCTTGGAAGTAGCTCACGAGTCGCCTTACTGGCAGGAAAACCTGGGCAGCTGCTGCGGGGATGAGGGGGGCTGCGTGCGGGAGCACTCCTCCGCCGGGAGGCAATGTAAGCCAAGCTTTTCTTTCCCTGCGTGTTTCCTTGTTCTCCGCCTGCTGCTCCCTGGCCCCTTGTCCCATCAGCCAGCTGTCCCGGTGGCACTTTTTAACGCTCTCATTGGCACCGCTCAGTGCTCTGTGGAGGGGCTGTGGCCCCCCCATGCTGTCACCGGTACACGAGTCCAGGAGTTGGGTGACATTAGTCGTAGCCTTGGAGCCTGTTGCCCACAGCCTCCCTGTTAGTTTGGGGCTGAGCAAAGCCTCCGACTGATCTGGGAAGCCTAGTT